TAACGTCTCATATAAAACATTCAGAAAAGCTAAAATTGCTTCTTCTTCTTCTTTTGGAATAGTGATGATCTTTTCAAGCGCTTGGTAAATGGCAGAAGATTTACAAGTAGCCTGAGATTCTGATTTTGAGCTTTGTTTCTTTGCAGTTCATCTCAACTGCTGGAATCCCTTCCACTGCCAAACGTAAGAATTTTCATGCCTTGACTTAGTTTGAGCTTGTCTGGCTTGATGATTCTACACAAACATTCTCATCTTCAGCTAATAATATTTTTGACAAGTCTTAGATGCTATCATATGAAGTTTCTTATGATCTGATATGATGCAGATAAAATGGATTTGCCCCACCGCTCCTACGCGTCCCGTGGCAATACTTGGCGGTTTTCCTTGCACTGCATGTAATACCAAACCCTTCTTATCTACCTATTCATATTGCTTAAATCAGCACTATGTAGCTAGTACTTTATCAATGATGAGATGATCAAATCTGTAAGTTTAATATTTATTAGGGTTTGATGTTGGAGAACTCTCAGAGGAAGGTCCAGATGATTGGGAGGGCCTAGATGCCTCAGCTGCACATATTGCCAACTTGTTGTCAACAGAGCCAGCTAATGGTACTTTCTGGGATAACTACTTATCAGTTACCTTCATAGTTTTACATTTTCGCAAAATATATCCTACCTTGTCTATTACCATCTTTCTGTGTAAAGAAATAGGATGGGGAAAAAAGTAATCAAACCACATAGATCAAGTTACATAACCCTTTCAGCCTGTCTCTTATAGGATTCAGATTTGACATCAGTTTTTTGTGACAGTGAAAGTTGGGATTGGAGGCTTCAGCATGGGTGCAGCAACAGCCTTATATTCTGCGACTTGTTTTGCTATGGGAAGGTATTCAAATGGCATTCCATATCCTCTCAACATAAGAGCAATTGTTGGACTAAGTGGCTGGCTTCCAGGATCAAGGTATGATATGGCATTCAGATTGTATGTTCTTTTAGGTTCTTTTTTCTCATCATTTTTTACGACCATCATTAGCCAAATTTTGTCATTAAGTCCATCTTGCTGAACATTGGTTATCATGTAGGAGCTTAAGGAACAGGATTGAAGTGTCACATGAAGCCAGAAGGCGAGCTGCTTCATTGCCCGTTTTTCTGTGCCATGGAAATAGTATGTATCTGCATAATTCTTTTTATCTTGTTCATCTTCATTACAGAGTAGTAAAATTATAACTCAACAAGCCTAAGAGATTCAGTTAGTTGTGAAGTTCCAAAATCCTTCCTACCACCTCATCAATTCAGGCCTAACTTCAATTGACTTTTGCAGATGATGATGTAGTCCTTTATAAATATGGAGAGAAATCAGCCCAATCCCTAAGTTCAGCAGGATTTCAATACATTACATTCAAGTGCTATGAGGGGTAACTCGTCTTCTTTTTCAGAACAAATCATCATCAAATTTGAACTGATCAGTTAAAACAATAGTCTCACTAATTTGGTTTGGCATCTGTGCAGTCTCGGTCATTACACAGTTCCTAGAGAGATGGATGAGGTCTGTAATTGGCTTAACTCGAGGCTTGGGCTCGATGGAACCTCATGAATGGCATGATCTGTATCAGTTGGGACATGGGGGGACAACAAAATGAGAGAGGGAAGAGAGACACATGATAAGCGAGTAGTTAGATTCATCAGTGCAGGAAGGGTTCATGGGTAAATAGGGTATAGGAGATTTAATTTTCTGAATGTGTTTTTGGCGTATTATTCTACCATATTATATTTTTATTGGTTACCTTGAGACTCAGCTGGTTGTACTATTAGAATGTTCTTTTTTATTTCCTTCAAGTTTTGATTGCTGTAACAATACAGAGGCTTGGCCTCCTTAATCTATGAGGTTACTTTGGTGGGAGTAAATAAAGTTTCTGGCTTATCAAACAGTTCTTCTCTTACCTACCTTTTTAAGCATTTGTTTACTTATATATTGGCTTTGATAATGCTTTGTCATTGGCAATACGTAATTAATGAGGTACAAGAAGATATATGTTAACCCTTTTGAGACTATAAAATCAATACACATTGTAATATAGACTTGTTATTTTAATCTCTAAACTTCAATTTTTTCTATCTCTCTGGTAAGCATTGACTTAAAATGGTCCTAAGATTGTATAACTATCTGTTCTATTTTCAAAATAAAATATGTATAAATCTCTCTTAGAATAAAAGATCACTATATTATGATTTTATTTACCTGAATGGGTAGGGTCTCTTGTATGAAATATGTACAAAATCCCTTAAAACAACATTCTCTTGATTAAAATACCGTTGGCAATGGGTTTGACAACTTCACTTTGCATTTCATAATTAGATTTGATCACATGCGTTCAAGAATTTGCTGGGATTAGCATTCTATGATATCCCAAATAGCTCTCTTGAAGCACTAATGATTGATTGTAAGCATATTTTTCAAGTGAAATGAAACAAAGAAGTCCTTGGCAAAGACAAATCTGCAAAGAGGAATTGACACAACTCATACAACAAACAATATTACAACACGGTTGAAACTGAATTGAAAAAGCATTACGACATTACATACGAGGAAACAAAAGAGTTCAACAACAACAACAAAATTAAAAGAAGTAGCTTTTATTTATGAGAGAGTGAAATGTCAGTCTAGTAATTTCTGCGGTTGTAAGTAGGATAGCTTCATCTTCATCATGGTGGGCCATACCGAATGTGTTCTTGACAGTTTCAGTAGCACTTTGTGCCATGTCCTTCACTCTCTCTCCTGTCTGCTGCAGGAACCCTGCACTGTTGTCCTTCCCAGATTGGGCCGTCTCCCTGGTGGACTGGCCCATCTCTGAGGCCCTCTCATTTGCCGCTCCACCCTTCTCTTGGGCCTTCTCACGAACATTGTGGGCCGCGTTCTGGGCCTTATCCTTTACCGCCTGGGCCGTCCCTGCAGCCTTCTCCTTGGCCTGTTGGCCCTTCTCTCCAATATTGCCCATCGCCTGGTTGGCCTTTTCCTTACCCACACCAACACGCCGAGGTGAGTGTCAGTCACATAATTTAGTTTACAAGCTCTGTTAATAAAGTAAACTCGGAAATAAGTGACAGTTTATGACAAAATTAGAGATTACCTGAGTTCGGCCTTTGGTTTCACCAGCTCTGAAGCTCTGCTCATGGGACGACATTGTTTGGATCTGGAAATGGAATGTGTTTGAATCTGTTTGATATTAGAAGGTCTCTGTTCGGAGGGATCAAGGAGGATTGGTTCTGTCTGTGAGGAGGTTGGAGCTGTGTTGCGGGGCGTACTTATATAGTGTTTCATGGTTTTGTGGGTGACAAACACGTGTCCAGCTTCAAGACACGTTTGAGGACACGTGTCGCGCTTGGAGAAGGTGATCCTTCGAAAGGATTTGATTGAGGAAGAAACCTCAACATGTTAGCCACGTCGCATGGCAGACACCAATGGTGAAAATCTTATCATTTGAGGTGCAATAATATCATTGTACGTGTGTAAGTTAAAATTATTCCATTATTTCAATCCGGCCAGCATAATTGGTGTATTCAAATACACACGCTGTATATAATTCTAATAATAAACCCACGAGTACCCATGCTTAGCTTCTTTTTTATAATAAACAAAAAATATATTAACGATAAAAAATCACAATACAATGTTGGAGTTTCGAAGTCCAAGGTGAAAATTCAAATTCAAAATAAAGAAAATCTCCCTGAAGTAAAAAGACATAAAAAATTAGAAATAAGCTAAGTAAGGAGAACGTGTGCCCATGCTTGGTAGGTAGTTCGTATGAATTACTTTAATTTGTTGATAATTTATAAATTAATGATAGAAGTTATTACATATATATATATATATATATAGATTTTTTATAATATGTAGATAATCCTATATAATCTATGTAGATAATCCTATCTCTATAATCTATATAGAAATATATCATATAACATAAATAAGTTCAGTGGGGATAGTAAAGATGATGTACTGTAACAGAGTTACATTAAGTTGAAAGTGCAAATGCACCCCATCGCTTGCTCTGGGGAATACTAGAAATTTGGTATATAAAATTTAATATTTTACATTCATGTCTACTTTGAAATTTTGAACCACTTTTCTTTGAATTTTAATATTAGTCTTGGTTCTATCACTAGATGTATAAAGTGATCAGTGTGTATGAACAAGAGAGATAATGCTTATGGAGAGGAGATGGGAAGATCATAAACGAAGCAAATTTAAATTTGAATTTCTTTTGGTGAAAAAGTAGGATAATGCTTGTAATTGTTTGGATTTTTTAAAAAATAAATTAATTTTTGAAAATTGTGAAAAAAGAAAAGAAATAATTCAAGTTGTAGCGTCTGTCTGAATAAGCAAACCTAAAATCCAAAGTGTTAGAAATAGATTTGATGTTAAAGATTTTTTTTTTTAAGTTTGCCCAAATTAAACCTCTTCAAATTATGAACTACTAAGTACTAACTACGCTAGTTAAAAGTTAAAACAAGAAAAATATAAAAACGAATATATTGAATAGGAAATAAAGTAACAAATAATTCATTTGGACTTTGGTGCCCTATTAAAGGACCAAAATTCTCACCAAACGTTTTATTTTATAAATAAGACTCCAGTACACATTTTCAAAAGTTTTATGTCCCAGTTTATATGCATTTTATTTCATAAAATGTTAAAAATAATTGATGTGTTCATCTCAAAATTCTTTTAACAACTAAAAGACTACCTGATTCTATTCTGTTGATTTTATTTGTCCCTCAACAACGATATTTAGTTAAGACTTGAATTGAATATATTTAAAAATTTTAAAATATTGTAAAAATACTAACTAATTGTAGTGGCACGTGTGAGGCAGGTAAAACAAGGGAATAACTGTTTACCCGCCGCACAGGTGGTGTTACTACTTAATAGTCCTACAAATCGCGTGTTTTTTGACCATTGCCTACAAATTGCGTGTTACTGTTATTGTCACTGTTCAAAGAAATTATAGACGATCGAGAAAAATATAGAAAATAGAGTAGAATAATCATCGCCCGGAAAGGAGCCGTAATGGCCTGTTTACGGACTGCTGGGGTTTCTCCGACGTGTTTCAGGCTCAGTCTTGGTCTCGCTTCTTCGGAGAAAAAGGAACAGATATCGAAAATGTCTCTCACCGGCGTGAAAATGTCGGAAGACGTTTGGTTAACTTGTGTTACTCATGCATTGTCCACTGAGACTGAAGAGATCATGGGCCTTCTCCTGGGCGATATCGAGGTCATTCATGTTTCAATTTCCACTATTTTCTTTGATCGGTAATCATTTTGAGCTCAATGGGCATTGATCTATGCATCAATTTTTCGATGCTTCTTAGTGGCTTTTGGGTATTTCTTGTTGGGGGTACTGGGATTCGCTTGTTCTCTTGAATTTAAACTTCAAACTCTGATAGAATTGTTCGTTTTAGGGGGGATTAGCGTTTTTTTTTTTTTGGGCATTTCTAGGCGGGGAAATAGAAGTAGTTTCTTTTGTTCATTTTTCGTTCAATGAAGTGAAATAGAGGGTAATTTTTAGCGAGTTAAGTTCAATGTTTCGAGAAGACTAATATCAAATGGAGCTCTAGAAGATTTAATAGGAGTTTGCTCCTGACTCAAGTGGGTTAGTAAGATATATGCTGTGGAACCGAAGGCCGGAAGGGTTCTTACAGTTACTCTAATTTAATGAGATGGAGTTCATTTTTTATTCCTGATCATCTATCTGACTTCCCATGAGCCAGATGTTTGCTTGCATTATGGATATGGATTATAACTTTGCCATTTCTAGGACATTGAAAAGTCTGATACCAAGGAAGAAGCATAAGATATTAGTTTGTCTAACATTTTTCTTCACGGCACACAAAGTTGTGATTTGTACACCCTTCACGTCCAATATTCTGTCTAATAATAATAATAATAATAATAATGCATGAGCTTGATTCTTGAAGATATCCTTCAGTTTTCTCTTATGATGCCGATGTCTCTCAAGATCTACTGTATATGCATTTTTGCTTTTCTTTCTAAGCGCCATACTCAAGCCATCCATATCTCTCTTTAACAGACTTCTATTACCTTGTTTCTTCTCTCAAACATGTGATAAGCATGTTGATTCACGAGTTTTTGTGAATCATAAATCATTAATCATCGTGGTAAACCCAATGCTTTCCTACAGTGCACCCCTTATCATGTTATTAAGATCTACTATATGCTTAAAGTAAGTGATCAGCCTGTGGTCACTTTTGTCTCTATTCATTTTCTAGCATTTTCAAGTTGGGGGTATTGCTCCTTTGGCAATTTGATTGTTCTTGTTGATCCGTTTTCATTAGCTAGAGCTCCTTTTTTTTTGGGTATGTTTTTGTTGTTTTTTTTAATATATGAAGTGCTAATAATAGCATTAAATCATTTTTCTTAAGAACAACAGAGTATTCTGCTCGTTGACGTAATGCCTGATACCTTTGAATTATTACTGAATGATGACAAGGAGGGAGCACAGTCATTATGACTTGTAAGACAGTTGCATTCTTGATATATCTGTTCAATAACAATGAATTTATATAATTATTTCTTGTGTCTAGTTACTTGAAGGTCTGAACCTAGTGTATATCTTTCTCATCTGTGCAAATATGTTACTGCTTCATCAATCTTTGGTTTGCACAAATTGAGTAAGCCTTGAAGATTTATTTGAAGTAACGGGATTGATTAGTTCTCTTTTTGTACCCAGTAACTTTCCTGTTTACCAGTATTTTTTTTCTGCCTGTGTTTTAATTTATAGTTTTGTGGATCCAGCATTCAAAAAATGGGAATGTGACAGCGTTAATATGGGGAGCATCTCCACAAACAAGGTCTGATCGACGAAAGGACCGAGTAGAGACTAACCCTGAACAGTTGGCTGCTGCATCTGCTCTAGCTGAGATATCCTGATTCATACCTGTTATTTATGTGCATATTTTAGTTAATTTCAATTTGGTTTTAATTTCCACATTTTGTCATCCTGAGACTGTTGCTTTTATTCTTTGTCCATCCTGACAATTCAATTAGCTTTAAAAAATCTCACTCCAGTGACCTTTCAACTTTCTGATGATCATGAATGGCAATCCCTTCTTGGTTGGTTTTTTTTTTTAAAAAAAAAAAATTTAAGTTTTCTGGTTTGTTGTATCATTAACTTTATCACACAGAATGACCATATCAACTGGTAGAACAACGAGGGTGATTGGTTGGTACCATTCACATCCTCATATCACGGTTCTTCCTTCCCATGTTGGTAAGTGCTGGGCGATCAAACTACTTCAAATTCCTCTCTTTTCATCAATTTGATAAATCTTCAATAGTCGTGAAGATCATCAACATCTAATGGACATAATTAACTCAAAGGATTTTGAGATTACGTTGTTCATGTTTCATACTTCATGATATGCCATTGAGCACAATTTTAACCCAAGTACGGAATGACAATTTTGTTTAAGTGGTAAGATGTGATTAATCTGTTTTAACAGAGATTGGGTGACAATTTTAGACATGAAGGGGCACATGTAACTTAAGCACTGCATGCTTGCCATATTTTGGAATCGTATTATTTTCTATTTTAAGTTGAACTGAAGAATTAAGTTTATAGTTAGCATAATTACTAGCATGAGCATGCGACACAAATCAGAATTACATTTGATTTCTTTATGGATAAGTATGACTGTGTGACTTTTAGTTGTACATACAAGTAGAGTGATGAAAAAATTCTATCACCAGGCAAGATATTGAAGTCAAGTGGAGGGTTACATCAACAATCGATGTAAAAAGGATACAAAGACAATATATATGCCATTTACATTTCTAATCCTTTCCCTTCTCATTTGTAATATTTACCAGAGGTTACTATTGCCTTCTAAGGAACTTCTTTGTTTTTATTTTTTCCCTTACTGCCTATATTATTTTTGTGCACAAAGACTGTGTGTATCTTGTCTTCACTATTGCAGATGTGCGAACTCAGGGGATGTATCAACTTCTTGATTCTGGGTTTATTGGATTGATATTTTCTTGTTACAGTGAAGATGCAAGCAAGGTTTGTCTTGAATGCGTGATTACTGTGAAGCATCTTTCATGCTATAATTATTCATTAAATCTAACGTGAAGTAAATTTCAACATGCTATATTTATTCATTAAATCTAACGTGAAGTAAATTTCAACTGTACATAGGTTGGAAGAATTCAAGTAATTGCTTTCCAGTCATCTGACGGGAAGCAGAGTCAAATTTCAAGGCCTATACCTGCATCTCCTGTGAATAGAAGCTCTGTTATTGATCTTGATCCATCTCCAAGTTCCTCTGAGAATGTGTCAATAAAATCTGGTTCCTTCAAGGCAGAGAGTCCAGATCAGGATACTGGTGATTCAAAGATTACTGGAGCTAATAAGGTACAAATATAGAGTATTCTTGGCCATACAACCACAAAATCTGATGTGATAAAGGCTTTTAATCTTCCTCTAGCTCTCTGTTCTTTTTAATATATTTTTGGTTGTGGTGGAGGAACTGTGACTTAGATTTGTGGTTAAATATTTGACTCATTTCTTTGCTGAAGCACAATCTTGTTCTCTACGGAGTGCTTCTGTGTGTTAATCATGCTTACTGGATATCAGGCCAGCTATGCTCAGTGTTTGATTTGAGGAGTCCCTTTATTCTAACTCAATGTTAGTGAAAGGATGTATTTCTAGCAGGAAATTGATGGTTGTGGGGTCCTGCGTATTGGATATAACTCTGCTGGTAAGAGGGGTAATAGAGAATGCATAGCAATTTTTTTTGGGTAGAAATTACTCAAACAAAACTACAAACTTTTTCAGGTGATGCCTTGGGCGTTTTAGTCTGAGTTTATCTTTAATGTTTGAGCTGTTAATTTTATTTTGCTCAGATAGATTTTTATTGCTTAGTTACTTGAGAGCCTAGGTCATGCTCATCTCTGTTTTTTTTTTTTAAATTGCTGTCCAATAAAAAAAAGCTTAGATTTAAACCCTGAATTTCTCACATGGAATCAGTTGTTATGGCCTGAGCATCTCAAATGACTGAATGGGTCATGCAATGATGACAGATAGAGAACACGATAATTTTTTCTGCAAACTGGCTACCACAAACAGCCATGGGTGAGAAAAACAACTCCAATCCTGATCATCGTAGGACAAACCATGACATCAAACTCCTACTGAAATTCTTAACCAATTTTGGAGTTAGTGAAACTATCCTGACTCATATTGCACAAAGGTGATTTGAAGATACCCAAAAACCTTAACCATCACTACAAAGTTGGCCAGTGGGGTGAGGCTAACCATAACCAAGACCCTCACATCAAATTGAGCTGCAGAAGAGGGAAAAAATAGTATATTACACCTTGGTACAAGGTAGGGTGAAAAGAAATGCATCTCACTGAGGTGAGGAAGCCAAAAAACCCCCCTCACAGTTTAGAAGGATGAGAAGATAACACAAACCTACGCTTTGCAGCAAAGTGATGTGAGGTGGGAAAAAGAAAAACAGAACCATAGCAAGGAATAAAGAAGACAAAGACTCAGGCGTTTTTTGTATAGGTTTATCTCTATATTTTAGCCATGTGTTTTATTTTAGTTGGGTAGGCTTTATCTCTGATATAAATGTATTTCATCGCTATTCTATAAAATAAGTTTGTAGGAAAATTAAACCGTAATTTCTGCAAATGTTTTTGGGTATATGGTAACTATTGCATAAAGGAAGTGTTTTTGGTGCTTTTATTTATTTTCTTTTTATTGGTATGGTAAAGTATGGCTGTGAGCTGAAACGCTCGAGGTTGATGGTATGAGAGATGGATATTCCTACCAGTACCAGTAAAGATTATACTTGATATATGTATTATTGCTTTACGGGATACAAATACTTCTGATGCCTTTATTTCTTCTGACCATATATGCTTACTTGGCTAGGGTGGGGGAAGATCTTCGGACTTGGGGAATTTCTTTGCTAATGCTGATGCTGCCAGTTATCAAGGGAGAGAAAAAAGTGGAGGAAACTACAATTCCAACATTTTGGACAACGCCACTGTTGATGTCGATCCTATGGATATGTCAGAAAGTATGCAGGAAGCCATGCATCGTTCAATTTGGATATGAGGTACAGATGAGTATGTACTCAACCAATAATGTCATGTTAATTATTATTAGTTGTAGTTTGGGATTTTCGGATTTCAGCTCTCCAAATCCTGGTTATGAGGATGAAGATCAAAGTTCGAGATGGATGTTTACTATTGGGAACAAAAATATGTTCTTTTGAATTTGGATTACCATGTTTTGAATAAACCCTTGTAAGTAACTGTAATGCTCTGCAAAGTGATCATTCTCAAGCACTGAGATTTCCACTGCTTAATCAGCCCCAACTTGGAAAATAGCTTGATGGAATATTCAACTGTCATTTTTGCACATTCCATGTGTCCCATGACCTGCTATTAGAGGACAGGCTAGCTGATTTGTGCAGCTAATTTTCACGTAGTCTCTATGATTTACGTCTTTATAATATGTTATACACTGTAATTTTCATAGTGAGAAGTACAATCAGGTAGTTCATGGGGATAAGCATTCTGGTGTATGCTTGTCATTATCTCTATTGCTAAGAGTTAACCTTATTTGTTAAAACTCTAGTTCTGGATTATTAGAGAGAACGTAGGTAAATAATGATAAATGTAAAGATGGTCTGATACTGATCTTTCCGTCTTAATTAATGTTCTATGAAAATGCATGTCCATGGGTCAATTATGGTTTACCTTTGAAGAGCTTGACGAAAGGCAGCTCTTGATATTGAGACCTCAAATGGTTTTTGTTTGATAACAGTGGTGCAGAATATGTAAGAAAAGAAATCCCTCTTTATGTTTTGCCGACTACATCCCTTACAAACATTGATTCCCCACTATCATCATATACGGAACTGCAACATGTACTATTTGAAGAGGAGCGTACTGCATATAACCAGGCCATTTTACAAAACATGAGGTGATGATTTTATGCAAAATATGCTATTATCAAATACATGTATGAAAGATTTACTGAAGAATTCTATTGTTAATGTTAACTTCCTTACCTTGGTGACTGTAATTTTCTTTATCTCAGGGATGGGAAGGTGCATCCTCTTACTTTCATACACCACACTTCTACGTACCAGGCTTCATTGTGCAAGTTGATTGAATATTGGTCGGAATAAAAAAGATCTCTCTCTTTTCTTTTTATTTTTGTATTTTCCATTTTTATTATTTTTTTCCCCTAATAATTTCATCTTTTTTGCAGTCTAAGCCCTGCAATGCAAGCACTACAAGATCGATTGAGAGAAAATGAAATTCGGTATATACTGATTTCTTAACTTCTATGTCAAGGTAGAAACATTCTCTAGTTTTTGGGGGATTTGGATGTATACAGTCCCTTTCCCTTTTTCTCATGAACTTTTCCAACTCTTTGTCTGACCATTGCTTGCTGTTCAACGTTTCTTGAGCTATCAATTCAAGCTAGGCCTTCTAATCGAGGGAGGATTTTCTTTCCCATAGTGGAAGCCCTCCTATGGGAGAAAGAGGAGCTATGGGGCCCACAAGGGTGGATCTTACCAGGTCCAACATGCCCCTCCCTCTTTCACATATCCTCTTTGGCGCGGAAGAGGATCCTCCGTCTCTAATAAACTCGTTCAACCCTGTGAAGCAATGTAGGGCTGGATTGATTGAATGGCATAATATTTTTGGCAGTGGTTTTCATAGCTTAGAATGGGCTTGGTTTCATATTGGAAACCACCAAACATAACAATGATCATGGTCTTGATAGTTTTTTTTTTTTTAAACTGCACGCAGGAATCTTCTTCTGTTTGAGACACTTGATAGCTTTTAACATATAACCGAACACGTACTTGGGCTTCTCATCTAGAGTTCAATTCAACTGAAGCCAGTTCATTGTCGCCCAAACGCCTTAGAATAAAAATTGATTTTTTTTTTAAACTTTTTTTTAGCAAGGATTATTGTGGCTTATTTTGTAATCGTACAAGTGCATTGCAAAACTTACATACTTTTAGGGACAGCCATAATTTCCCACATAGGCTGACCCAAATCACCTAGAGAGTCGGGCTGGGCCAACCCATGTTGATTGCCTGTTAAATCAAGTCAATCATGTTCATTCTGACAATGTGTGGCACATTTATTGTTGGCGTGACAGTTAGGAGTTCTGAGCGATGAGGCCAAAAGTCTGGAAGGGAGGCATTTAGAGAGGGTGAAGCAGGTTCAGGATCTCCGCGTCAAGTTCTATCTCATATTGCTAGGAATGTATCCAGTCCTGGAAGCCGCATCAGGAGAGGGTTTTAATATGAAGTCTTCCTTCAAAAGTTCTGCTTCAATTCATATGAACAACGACGGTGATTGGGGCTGGGCCAACCCATGTTGATTGCCTGTAAATCAAGTCAATCATGTTCATTCTGACAATGTGTGGCACATTTATTGTTGGCGTGACAGTTAGGAGTTCTGAGCGATGAGGCCAAAAGTCTGGAAGGGGAGGCATTTAGAGAGGGTGAAGCAGGTTCAGGATCTCCGCGTCAAGTTCTATCTCATATTGCTAGGAATGTATCCAGTCCTGGAAGCCGCATCAGGAGAGGGTTTTAATATGAAGTCTTCCTTCAAAAGTTCTGCTTCAATTCATATGAACAACGACGGTGATTGGCATTAGTTTTGGTACCTGTAATTTGGAATATACACATTATATAGAATGTATGAGAAGATAGTATTGAGTTGCAAAGAAGTGTTGACTAATGACTCCTGCCAGTGTATAAATGTTGTTTCGAATATTTCGTTCACGTCTGACGACAAAAGAAAAGCATTTTATTCAATGTTTCTTGTTTGAAATTGCATGCACCTGTATTGTCCATCCTGGTGCCATTCAGCTTCTTATTTCAAGTCTCAAAGCTTTGAGAATAGAAAAAGTTAGTTACTGCCGAGGGAGTTTTACTTTCATGGTTTGTGTTTTTTTTACACTGTTCCTCAACTGCAAATTTATATAAATTTTAATGATATAAATTAATCTATACTTTTAAAAAATCATCAAACTTAATTTAACGGTATTGCAGTGTTTTTTGTACTGTACTAGAGGGAAACCGACTCTGAAATGGACAAAGGGACAGGGAAAGTTGGCCACCAAAAAGATGTTCATGTTGGTGTCGGGGGGGCACCACTGTAGTTCACAGTCATTGTTGTAATGTTTAGTCTTATTCATGTGCTACCGCCCTGACTTGTCATATTCTTTCCTATTCTTCTATGCAAAAACCCCTACCCCCCACTTTCAATTATCTTTCCCATGTTTTTATCCAAAAAATCTTGAAATTGACAGCCTGTCTGTATATTTTGCTATAATAAATTAAAACTCACTCACTGTTTATTGATATTTATGATCGTATAGGGAAAATTTTTATTGTAATTTAATTGGAAAAATAAATAATAAAATTTTTTAAATATATAATAATAATTTAATTTTTTTAAAATATCATAATTTTTTAAAAATCTTTTGATATTTTTTTATTATTAATGATTTTTATACATTATTAAATTTCTTTGTTAAAAAAATGATATTATAAATTTTGTTTAAATATCATCACAACTTTTCTTTTTATATTTGCAACAATGTAATAGCAAATAAAGAATTTAATATGCGAAATTATGATTTACTGTTACATATTACTAATATAAAAAAGTTATAAATATTTAAACAAAACTTGTGAATTAATAAAAAAATTTTAAAGGACTCCAAGAGAATTATAATATTTTAAATAATCAACTTGTCATTTCTATATTTTAAAAGAATTTTATTATCATTTTTTTAATCTAATCTATCATACATTTTTTTTTAAAAATACACATAACAATATTAATATATGAATATTTTTTTTATTGCAATATATGAATAGTTTTTGTTTGTTCTTAGTTTATTTTACCTATTAAATGCACCCATCCGAACTCGAATTGTCACTGGATTCATGCACTTTTGTCGCCTCCTCATCTAGCCTAGTGTGATAGTCACAGCCAACTTCCCCACGCATACATTTAATGAATGAGCCCCCACCTCTTTTCTTTTCTTCTTTCTAAACATTTCAGTTTCTCCCATAGTTTTTTTTTTTAAAGAAATCATAAAAGTCTTTACATCTAAATTCATGTTTTACTATAAGTTTTCTTAAAATGAAATTCTCTTTATATTTTAGTTATTTAAAATTTCACAACTTCAATTTTCTTATTTTCTTTGTATTTTTATTGTTGTGTTTTTGTTATCCACACATCTTCTTTCATCTATTATTCATTCTCATTTTTTATTGATTGACAAATAAGAGTAAATTATCACTCCAATCTTATCGTTTTGCTTCATATCTCAGCTGGTCTCCGTTTTCTTTGAAATTTGTTTACACTGTTCAAACAACGAATTTTAATGCCTGAATTTTAAATAAGATTTTAAACGTAAGATTTTAAGACTTTAGAAGTAGGCCCGGCTTCATAAGGCAACATTATTGATTTCATCACGGGTCGGTTCTTTACAGAATCGTTGGTTCAATCAGATTCTTAGCTCTCCACTACTACTGAATCATATTGAAACATGGTTGGATTTAATTGGACTCATGATCCGTAAAAACTACTGAACATTATTCAAATCTTGTTTAAGAAAAATCTGAGTCCTTTCTCGGGTTTTTAAACAAACTCATCGTTTATACTAGATATTATGAGCTGAATGATTGGAATCCACCACCAATGTATAGTCTACCTACTATTTAAACCACATCAACTTGTTAAATACTAAGAATCAAAACTAGGAACCAATAAGAGGGTACCAACAAACAAGGGATCCAGCCAAAAACAAAAAAAATCAATTACCATCCACGAGCCATTTATTACAGTTGCTAGCATCATCGACCTAATAGATAATTCAACACCTGATCTAATCATGAAAAAGCGTTCCTTCGTATCCCATCTTAGCCATCTATAAATACTCCAAGTAGACCATCTGAATTCAAACCAAACCAAACTCTCTCTTGCATTATTCCACCATGAGTGATTTGAGTCATCATAGCCATATTAAGAGGCCTCACAGAGCCAACCAGCCTGCTTGGCGAGCGATAAAGCAGCTCTGCTCAGAGCACGGCCAAGTCAGACTGGACCACTTGCACCTCCTGCGACGCCTTGGCTCCGGCGACATCGGTAACGTGTTCCTCTGTGAGATCAAGCACACCATGATGAACAACCTTCAGGACGGTGGCGGTGGTTGTTACTATGCCTTGAAGGTTGTCGATAGAGAGTGTCTCCGAATGAAGAAGAAGCTCAAGCGAGCTGAGGTTGAGAAACAAGTGTTGAGTGTTCTTGATCACCCTTTTCTTCCAACGCTTTATGCCAAATTCGATGCTTATCATTACTCATGTCTGCTCATGGATTTTGCCATGGCGGTGACTTATTCAGGCTTCAACAAAACCAGCCCAATCTTCGTTTTAGCGTGTCAACAGCTAAGTAAGTTCCCATACTTCACTTATCATCTCAATCTTGTTATATATCTGAAGTGTTCTTTGGAAGAATGATTTTTATATTTCATACATGTGACAGATTCTATGCAGCTGAGGTGCTTCTGGCTCTTGAATATCTGCACATGATGGGGATAATTTACAGAGACCTAAAGCCAGAGAATGTGCTCATTCGAGAAGATGGCCACGTCATGCTCTCAGACTCGATCTCTCACTTCACTGCGAGGCTCATCCGAAGCTTCCAAAACGAAGACTCCAACACAACACTAATCACAGCAAGACTGCCACAACGAAGAAGACGAAGAAGACGAAGAAGAAGAATGTGACCTTGTGCTGTGAAAACTCAGCGGAGGATGGTGTGATAATAATGAGGAAGAGGAAGTCGTCGATAGCTGATGACGTGGAATTATCAGCAGAACCAACGAACGCTAGATCCAAGTCATTTGTTGGGACCCACGAGTACTTAGCACCGGAGGTGATATTAGGGTCAGGCCACGGGGGTGGAGTGGATTGGTGGGCATATGGAGTGTTTCTTTACGAGCTGTTGTATGGGATCACGCCTTTCAAAGACAAAACAACGAGAAGACAATGAGGAACATTATAGGGAAGTCGTCGGTGAGGTTTCCGACAAGTGAGTTGAGAGACAAGAGAGAGGACGATGATATAGCGAAGGCTCAAGACCTGATAAGAAAGCTTCTGGTGAAGAATCCAATGAAGAGACTGGGATGTACGAGAGGTTCATGCGAGATAAAGAGACATCAATTCTTCAAAGGGACGAACTGGGCCTTAATACGATCGAGTAAACCACCTATTGTCCCTAAAGAAGAAGCAATAATGGTGGC